GCAACTACTTATGTACTTCCGTGTATTAGGTATGATTAGGACAGATGTAGATACCTCGACGTACACATTGTACTCACCCACCTATGCGTACTTGGGCGTGTGCTCTAAAGATTCGGTAAGTACCTTATGTACATATGATGTTCAGATCGCCTGCCTGTAGAGCCTGCCCAGTGGTTTCTCCCAGTAGCAATGTACCTGCCAGTTTATGATCTCCCAGGCGCTTGTGGGGTGGAACGTGGTTTCCCCGTCTTTGCTACTGCGTGGCCAACCCGCTTAGACTTGGCCATATACAACACACCCAACACAATTCAACGCGTCGTTCCCAAACGCCCATGCTTCCCCTCCTGCTAGGTAATCACAACTGAGCCTTCTAGGTGCCACAAGTCGCGGGTTTATGGTATTGATTTCGTTCACTGTTCGTCTCTTTTGTCTTATCGAGAGTATCCTCAAAGGTAGGCACTGACGGCCAACATCTAACAGTCCGCTTTTCAAGCACATCCCACGCCGCCAGTGCCTTCGGTTGATGTCGACAACATATTTCTGCCTCGCAACGTCCCACGAATCAATCATAACCACGCATTCCTGATATTGGATCATAATCTAACATTTGGTGTACATGACCTGCTCATACACACCAGAGAGAGCGAGAAAGAAGGAGAAGCTAGCTAGCAGGGGAACCTATTACTTCCCCTCGTCGACCGTTCAGTTCCAACAATCGAAATCTCCTTTTTCTACAGTCGAGGTATGTGTTGAATCGTGATTTCCTAGTTACCTGGTTTTTCCAATTGCAGCTGTATTCCTTGTAGCTACCTATGTCCATTATACCTCAAGTCCCTGAACACGATTCAGTTACAGGAGAAAATTCTCTGTCCTGATTCATATTCGATCGGTTCCAGGTCATTTCAGCACTATTGTTAGAAGGAGATTTTGACGCGACCAGCTTAGAGCCTACTTAGGTAGTGTGTGGCGCGCTGATTAACAGACGAATGAGTTATAAAACTTCCGGCTTTTGTAAGTACCACCTCCACCAGCTACATCACTACCAATTTCCGGGACTTGCTATTCAGATAGTCTGCCATCGACTTCAAATTGGAGACAGTGACTTCTGGGCTTGCCACTGAGCGATCTAGCATCTTGTACAAGGCTATACTGTAACAATATTTCAAACTAGCTTTAGCACAACCCACTAACGATTTAAGAGCACGATGTCTTCTACGAAGTTTCAGGAATATTTGGAGGGCATGAATCGACAGCCGCTTGACAGGAAGTCCGAACATCAAAGTTCTAGAGTCTTACTGCCGCACCAGAGGACAGGTCCTGCCCAAGAGCCGGAATCCCCAACCCCCAATATCAGTGAGAAACAAGCCGAACATGGCGCTTGCCAACAAGACGGCGCGAAGACCTCCCCAGGCTGCTCTGCGAGAGATAAAACTCCAGCCAGAAATATGTACTCATCACCTGAACCCAGCACACAGCTAGATGTGCAAACGCCACCTTCTAATTGCCAGAATAATGGCCTGGCGAAGAGCCGCTGGGCCAACTCATCTTACAACGGTACTCCTGTACGCCAAAGTGGTCAGCCGTTGAATAACTTTTCGGCCTCTGCCCAACGCCAGCCAACAACGACGATGAGAAGGCCAAATGTAACGCCTCTAAGTAAAAGTAATGGCGTCTTCAGCGACGGGACACCAGACGAGAAAAATACTCCTCTCACTGGAAATGCAATTGTCATCCCAAGACTTTCACCTAGTGCCTTGTCTGGGCAGAATAATCGTACTTACCCCTTGGAAAAAGGTGAGCCAGACCATAAACTGAGTAATGGATGGGAGGAATCAGATAGCATCCAACACAAAGTCGAGAAGCCAGTCCCTCAGTTCTCGACAGCAGCAGCGTCTGTACGGGGCGCTGAAGGAAGCTCCCAACCTATCAAGAAGCATTCCTCTCCCTCTATCAATGCTGTTCCCGATCCAAGAGTCAACTGGCCGACAGAATCAGGTGTCCCAGGCGGAATCGGTCAAGACATCGCACGTCAAAACCGGACCAGCAGGGCGAATCCGGCTCCGTTATCTTCGAAGAAGTCTACAGATGAGATGTCCACATCCACGGAAGGGGAAAGAGCCGTTCCTCCACATGTCACCGATTTCATCGAACACTGGAGACAAACTGCGCATTCGGTCGAAGCCGACTTTCTCTCTCAGAATCGCGATCCACACGGAGATTGCGATGTTAATACATACAGTGGTGATATTCTGGAACCCATCGACTACCCAGCCACAAAACAACGTACGTATGCTGGTGCAGCTTGCCAAATAAAATACGTTTCGTAATGATACTAATGCTACCTCATAGAAGAGTTGATGTCACGTGCTCAGTTAGAACAGACGTCCGCAGTCTTTATGAGACAATTGATAGCCGGACTAGCTCGCCGAGATCCCAAGAGAAAAGCACAGAAAAAGGCAGAGAAGGAAGCGAGAGCTGCTGCTAGGGCGGCGGCGGCGGCAGTAGCAGCAGCAGGAACTCCAGAGGTCTCCACTGCAGAGCTTCCCAATATCAACGAGGTTCAGATCCCATGCCATCTTCGCCCGGCAGTCGAGTCGGATATTGAAGCCATTGCAGCTATCTATAATCAAGAAGTAGCAGATGGATACAAGTTGATGGATACAAAGCCAGTGAGACAGGAGGATTTCCGAACCATTTATAGTCAAAGCCTTGTTGAGAAAATGCCCTTTGTAGTAGCGGTCGCAGGCTGGCATGGGGCCATGAACACATCTCATCAAGAGGTCATAGGATTTGCCCTCATCACGGCGGTGAGCCGAGGTATTGCAGGCTCTTATGACACATCTTCCAGGCGTGGTGGAAAGTTGCTAGTTATTGTCAAGCCGCAATGCCGTCGCAAGAAAATCGGCACGGCCTTGATGGATATCATCATAACCAACTGCACGGGCTGGCACATGTCAAAAGGAGGCTATCAGTTTGTGAACTTCACTCACGACTGGATGTCCAATGAATATGGAAGCAGCCCTCGAACTTGGTGGTACCTTGAGATGGACATAATGATACGTTCCGCTGAGAATGAAGAGAGGGCGCGAGAGGGTGAGGAATTCCAGTGGATCTGGAACTTCCTTGAGTCGAAGTTCACCCTGCTTCTGCAGCATTACGATGAGAAGTGTTTCTATCACCCTCACAAGATGTATTGGCTCGACAAACTTACATTTCGTCGGGACTGCCGCACTCGAGGAGCGTGATGGTATTCCCAAACTAGATACCTGTTGATGGAGTTGTCGGTCGGCTGATCTGCACTTCGTTGAATTTGGTAAGAAATGAATGGGAATCTGACAAGGAGAAGTGTATCACACAAATCAATTCATTCTCTCGCAGTCAGCTCTAATCTTAAATTCAGGGAATTGGTGAGAGGTCTCGTGTGTTCAGAGGTAACGCACGGAAAATGAATCAAAGGATGTAGATGTCGTGGTTGTGGAAAAGGTGGAAGAACGTGTTTGTTGCTATAATTGTTGCAAGCAAAATCAAACCAATACGAATATTTCTTTTGCCCGAAAGGTTATCCGAGGACCCAAGGTTTCTTGAGCCGTCATGGGCTGTAAACCCCTCAAAATAATGCGGATTTGAAGAAGATTCAATCCACAGACAACCTAACCGAAGAGCCGGGTACCAGCACAGTAGCTTCTTGGAAAAGCTTGAACTCAATAATATGGTATTAGTCCGAGAAAGTTTTTTCGATGAAGCCAGCCCGTAAGTAGTATTATGAGATGTGATCGCTATTTTAGAGAATAAAACGAAGTGATATCAAAGTGCAGTTTCAGGTACCCGGAACGCGATATACGTATAACAATTTGACTGGCGTTATTTGAGTGCTTATGACTGGGTCTCAGGCACGTGTGACATGCGGTCCTCGTGAAGCGCATCTACTCTTGTCTACATTCAGTGACTTACGTTGCCAGATGCTCTTTATACCTACCATTTGTGATTTGAGGCAAACCTCGCGCGTCTTGGCTACCTACAGAAGACTCGGATGTGTAAGGGCGCAAAGGTAATTGATAGATACTTTGTACTATCTTTATGCTACTCATATTCACGAAGTTTTTTTTTTTTTTTTTTTGTCCTTCTTCTTGGATATCTTCTTCTAAGCTCTCCCAGGCGGTTGCAGGCCTTGGACCGTGAGATCAGCTGGTATCTTGCTTACGAGCCTCTATATATCGACCGAAGATATAGTTCTGAGAGGTGCAAGCAACCCCTGCAGCTTATCCGCTCGCAGACCGGACCATTCTTTGTGAACGCGGACTGTCTCGCGACTTGAGTCGATAATTTACTGGACGTCGCACCCCATCGAAGGGAAGACTCGATGACTTTAGATGACAATACCTTAGCAAATACAGCTCCGAGAACTGCAGCCGTCTTCGATAGCGCGGTCGGCGGATGGTAGAAGCTAAGTCTGGTAAATGAAGTGCTGCTCTCCTCTCAGTACTGATGCAGTACAATCTCAGCAGTTCTCTGTTACAGCGAGAAACATGTGCTCAACCTATTTGATGTTTATTTGTATTGTGCGCCCGGCGACTCTTACTGATATCGACACTACTTCTACTGCTATCATGCATCAATAGATGGGAAGATTGTCCTAAATCTGACTACCTGATACAGATCTGGTCCGAGAGAAAATCGCCTTGGTCGTTGGATAACTCAAACCCGTCCCTCGAAATGGGAACAACTCGCAGAAAGGCATTTGATCGAATAACCGAGCGCTGACGCAAGGGCTTTCTCTCAGGGCAGCACATATCCCAGTTTGCCAACATTGAATTCGTGTAAGAATTGAACTTACAGTATATACCCAATTCAATGCGCCTGCGAACTCCTCCTTTGCACAATCAGCTCGCTCAGGGTAAGAACTGACTTGGTCTCCTAATACTAAATAGGGGTACTCCTATCGGCGGCGGGTATATAGGTCGAAATTTTTAGGCTAGCGGTATCGATTACCAAGGACGTATGGCAACATGGCCGAGTTGGTTATGGCGTTAGACTCAAGTGTCTTTACACATCTTGCACTGCTCAAGCAGTGTTGCATTCTAATGGAGCAATCCGCACGAGTTCGAATCTCGTTGTTGTCAAAGTTTTCTTTTTCCTTTCTTTGCTCCTCCCTATCTCTTTTAACCTTTCTTTATCTCTTTTTGTCAAATATTGAAGTTATTTATTGCCAGCCTAACCATGCTTTTAATGATGTGATATTTTATGTTAAGCTGTATGGCAAAGGTTTTTAAATCTAAGAAACTTTTTCTTGCTTGATTGTTACAATCCAAAAATTTTCTCTGAAATGTCTTACATGACTGTTTGGAATATCCTCAAAACTTATGATAATCAAGCGTTGCTTGCTAAAGAAGCCCCAAATATGCCTGTAAATTTAACTAGTGTATTTGGTGATGCCTTATTTTAAAACTTCCTCAAGCAGTCCTCATTTATCCTCATACAATGAATGCATTATCTCTTCTGTATAAATTCTATGAGAGCTGAATAACAATGGAAAATCTAGCTGCTCGCAACTGAACTCTAAAGACTCCTGGTGCAAGAAACTCCCTTTGCGTATTCATTTCTCCCCATTTCTTATTCCGACCTTCGGGTAGTCAGGCCATTCTTCATCCCAGACATACACAATCGTAACCCGCCTCTGGAAAAAGTTATACAGGATACTGTAATATGATCGAGATCCGGTGTGCCTTGAGCTTCGGTAGCTACGCGCATTTAATACGACGAGGGTATAGTAGCAAGCTTGCCACCGTCGTTGACCAGAATCAGTCCGTTACAGAACTTTAGTTATAATAATTAGTACTTCATTCACATAGTAAACCGTATCAGGAGAACTCTGCTTCAAGGATACTTACCGAGCCAGCTCTACTAGCCAGGTATAATACACTTCCCGCCATTTCCTCTTCGCCACCGAATCGTCGGGCGGGGATAAAGCGTGCATCCGTGTGATGCTCCTTGGATGGGTCGCGGTCCTGTATAAGGTTACTGCCCATATCTGATGGGAACACTGATGATATAGGTTAGTTACTCTCTCTCTATTCGAATCTATCTTTCACATGGTCCATTGACTCACAGCCAGGAGCCATAGCATTGACCCGTATGCCATGCGGAGCCAAGTTGGTGCTGGCATGCTTCGCAAGATGTTCGATAGCTGCCTTGCTTCCAGAATATGAAGGTGGCGAAGTGGCGGCACGGCTGTACCCCGAGATACTGCTCGTGAAGATGACTTGGCTCTGTACAGAGGGAACATCGCTGCCTTGAGTCAAGGGGGCACCAAAACCGCCCTTCAGCGCGTTCTTGTTACCCGCGTCCAGCAGCTCGAGGAAGGCGAGCATCGTGAAGTAAGCTCCTGTGACGTTTATGTGGAACGTCTGAGTAAATTCATCTATGGATGCGTTGTCAAACAGGCGTTGTTTCAGCTCCGAGAGACTGAGATCGGCCTGAAACCGTAAGGTAGGCCCCAGGATGCCCGAGTTGGCTATGAGGAGATTGACGTAGCCGCTTTCTTTCGTGATGACGTCCACGGCGGCTTGAAGGGACTCCTTCGACCCGACGTCAGCGACGACTGGATGCAGGCTTTCGTGTTGTTTGGCAGCTTCTTCGAGAAGCTCTTTGCGCCGAGCGATAATGTAAACCTTTTTGGCACCCGCGTTGGCTAGAGCCTTGGCCATATGAAGCCCAATGCCTAGCAGCGCATTAATAACGATTCTGAGGGCCCGCCACAATCGGAGGCAGCGATGAACGTACCAGTACCGCCACCAGTGACGACTGCCACCATACCGTCGACTCGGAATATGGTTGACGTATCCATTTTGAAGTCGTTTACTCGACAATTACTAAAGAACTTAGTGTATCGGTAGTTTTTTCTTTTGTACTATTTTGAGAATAGAGAACAAGCAGGCAATTCGTGTGTTGTACGCTTCCCAACCACCAAGGAGGCGAGCAGAGATTCCGGGCTTTTTATACAGCCAGAGAAAGGGGAAGAAGTGGAGTTTCCCTGACCGCTTGTAAAATGAAACGAAAATAAGAGAAGTCAATATCTAGATGTGATTATCATGCGAATATGGGGGGGGAAAAGAAGATGCTTAAGTCCGGGCGCGAATCGGGATGCCGTAAATTGGGGGTGCCGAGGCAGATGTCCGGAGAGGCTCCATCTATGCATGCAGTGCTGACTCTATCATGTCCGGTATGCATGGGATCCAACATGTCTCTATCTATACATACTTACCTACCTGTTAAAATGAAAGCGATGCCACGTTTCCAGCCGGCAATTTGGTATCTTATACCGTCGCTTGTCTGGCTTCCGGCTGCTTCGTCCGGAGCCGGGCCGCGAGGTGTGGATTGTCACGATGTTCGACAACGGGCGACTAAGATAGTAAAGCTTCACGCCAATCTGCTGCAAGTGATGGTGTCGTGAGCTTACTTAATTGGGTGAGCGTTTAGTTAGCTCCATGTGTATACTATAGGCAAGGTAAAGTAGGTAAGTATGTCTTAGCAAGTGTTGAAACACTACCTACAGTACGTATGCACTTTACTCTCAACAACTCAAGGGCAACTGCTTCCAGGCAGTTAGTTACACCACTGCCCAGGTGGGCACCTAAGTGGTACTGTAAGTAGCGACCCACATCACGTGTCGGATACCTATATGTATCCCACTGAGTGTACCCTGGCGAGCCTGGTGAGCTGGGTCAGTACCTACCGAGCCTACCTGTCTAGGTGACCGGCAGCAATACACCCGACACGCTGCACCCGGCTCCATCTAATCGTTTCATCCAGCCCATCACCTCACAACATGGTCTGACAAGACTTCGCAACCCCTCCGCATTGCCAATGGAATCCCGCCCTCACTACAGGCCCAGCAAATGACCTAGCCTGGTCGCATAAATCGATTGGCGGGTCGAAGCAGTTGATCGTCGGATGCACTTGAGACGACCAATCGACCTGTTCTAGTGATGCGCCGCTGCTGAGAGTAACGTCATCGTCCCTTGTCCTCAGCCAGCATGGCCGCCTCACGTCGCGGCCAGCCCGAGCTCCACGTACGACTCCCCGAAAGCCCCAGCGTTGTCGCACTTCCCGACCTGCCTCCCATCTCCGCCCTCTTCCTCATCGACTTCGACGTCAAGGCTGGCTACACCATCTCTTGGAAAGCCTCCAAACCCGACGTCGAGCTCGAAGGCGTCGTCGAGTACAAGTCGCTGCCTTCCGGCCTGCACACCGTATCGGAAGACCTGATATACTTCGTGAATGATGGATACGCGGGACTGAGTGCCTTTGTTAATGCGCCCGTCCAGGACACTGCTGCCCGCAATGCGCGAATGCTGGCAGTCGGTGTCTTGGTTCCGCTGAGCTATGGCCGTTTAGGCAGGGCCTGGAAACATGCCGAAAGCCTAAAGGCAATCGCATCGTAAGTCAGGAATCGCCCGGCTTTGTCTTCGCCTGCTTCCTGTTCTGTGGCAACTGCTAACATTGCGCCTATTAGAAAGCTAGCTGGAGATAGCAAGGATGTCAGTGTCCTGCAAGAGTATTGGGAGAAGAACCAGGCCCGCGACTCCACCGACGAGGACGCCGTCCCCGGGGATGACCCTGCTTCTCCAACTGCGTCATCTAAAAACCCCAAGACCTCTCGGGGCTCTACCAGGAACCGCTCAGCCTCTGACGGAACAGCCTTGATGCTACCTGGACACCGGCTGTCGCCCTTTCACCCGGCCTGGAGCTTGACCAAACTCCTAGATACGTTTGGTCCGCTCATCTTCCCTATACATCGTGCTGCGCTACTTCGCAAGCGAATCTTGATTATGGGTCATGCGCCTGTAGAACAAGCCTGCAACTTTGGTGAGTGTAATCTGTGCATTCTCGGTGTGAACAAGGCCTGACCATTGATATAGTTTACAACATCTCTGTACTCTCTAATATACCACTAGCGACTTGTGATCTTTTACCGTCCAGCTCTGCATCGCATCGCTTGCGGCCTTTGTTCTCAATTGGTGTTCATGATATCCCTTTCCTGGCAGAGGACGCAAAGTCTTCTAGTAGCACGGATGCGCCACCTCAAGATGGCGGATCGGAAGCTGGGACTGGATGGATAGCCTGCACAACCGACAGCATTCTCTCTAAGAAGGACACGCTGTGGGACGTGCTCATTACGCTACCACCACCCCATGCTTCGAACGCAAAGAGCCACATATGGCCTACCATAGAACTTCCGCACGGTGTGATTGTGAAAGCAACACAGCGTGATATGCGTCGTTTCCGCTCTCTCAAAGCCGGAATTGCTCGCATGGAAGGGAACGTTGTCGTTTCTACCCCAAATACGCCCCTGACAGCGGCCGCATATAGAGAAGATGACGCATTATTAGATGATGCAGAACAAATAGTTGAGCCCACGAGCTGGACAGCTCTTGCGTATAGTGGATTCATGTGGTGGGCCTCGGCGGGAGAGAAATTACGGTCAGACGAGGCTGAAGAGGCCGCGCAGGATGCCTCGCTTTTTTCTAACGACTTGGCATCTTCAACTATGAGCATGAATATGCCTCGCACAGCAGATATCGCCGCTTCAGTATCATCACTCACACCGAGACGATCCTCCACAGCAGCTTCGGCACCGCTCGACATAGATGAAGCTCGTGCCGAGCTCGCTATAATCGGTTATTTTCACAGATTGACAACTCAGTTTTTCAGTGCGTTAGCTGATGCGGTTGATAATACTAGCGATAGTGGCGTGGGAGATGAGAGCCCAATGGAAGAAGATGACGCACTAATCGACGCAGACGAGGAGGATGTGCAAGGACATGGTGTTGCCATCGATTCGGACGTAATCAAAAGGATGGGTCTTGACATTTGGAGCCCCTCGGACGCCGAGTTCGTGAGCCAGCTTCTGAAGACCTACTTCGATCGTCAGGCGTACGTAGAAGGCAAAGGTGTTGAGGTATGCGGCATCAGGGTCTGTTGAGACTTTGATATATAATATGCACTCCTAGAGATCTTCTCGTATAGGTCGAAACTGTGGTCTTGCAGAGTGTGGTATGGTATACACTGGCAGTCCAGTCAAAGTATAGGCTGCTTGGGCGATAGGGGCGCACAGCTCGGA